ATGTAGAGCTGGGGGGGGGGTGCTACATGCTCTGGAGGGCCCCAACATCCCCCCCCCAACTCTGTTTTGTTGTTAGTTTCAGTGCCTTGAATAAATATACACTGTGTTGCAAAGTTGTAGACTCACTTGGGGTAGGGGATTTCCAGGTTCTTGGAATGCTGTGTGACCCTGATGCTCATGGTGTTGGCAGGTGGGAGGGGGGCATGGGTGCTCTGACCTCCCTACCAAATAACTTTAGGGCTTTTCAACATCTGCCCTAAAAAGCTATTTTGTTTATTTCACCTTCCAACTGCAGACCCTTGAGTTGTTGGGTCCCAAGCTTGATTGTGGTGGTGAGAGTTGAGGGGCAGCCAAAAGCTGTGGGGGAGGGCAGATGTATTTTTTCCCCTGCTTGTGGTATGTGGAGGTCTGGGGGCTGAAGTGCCCAGGGTCTGTAGCAGGAATCTGAAATTGAGAAGGTAGCTTTCCAAGCACAGTTGGAAAAGTTGGAGAGTTTTTGCGGTACCCCAAAGTACCCATCCTCCAGTGAACCATGAGCAGGGGCCCAAATACATACCCAGCATCTGGCAACCCTTTCATTCCCACTATTGTCTGCCCCAGATGTGCCTGAGACCCATATCCAGGATCTCTAAGGGGGAAGTAAAACTGACACAGAGGTTTTCTGCTTCTGTACTAGGTAGGTTGTAGAGTCCTGGCTGCATTCCAGCGCAGCCCCTTGCCCCGTTTTTGGGGGGGGATGAAGTGAAGTGCAGTTTGGGGTGCCTGGAAGACTGAGCAGATACTAGGCATGAAATGCTCTGTTATCATGTAACATTTTTCTGGTTCATGGAGGACTGGTTCAAAACTGCACTTGATTTTCCCATTGTACTTTTAAAAAGTTCCAGGAAGCTTTAATTGGTTTTAAGTGGCCTTGCATGTCTAGGCTTGAGGGGTTTAAAGTGGATTTAGGATGTTCTATTACATCTGTCCACGCTCTTGCTCTCCTAGTTGCTTCTTGACTCATCCTGGAGACACTGCACTGTGACTATCTATTCTGACCCATTCCTAAACCAGCTCTGTGTATGTCATACCTCCCCCACACTATTCATGCTTTGGGAGCTAACTTTCCATTTGCATGATTAAGCTTTTTCCTGATAATTCCATTAACTGATGGTTATTAACAGTTAATTTCATCCAACAGTGTCAAAGCACTTAAAAGTCAACTTTGCATACACTTAACATTTTTTACAGTTATGTGCATCAATAAATGTAGCCTTGCCTTGGAAGAAGAGTTAACACGTGTAATTTTAATCAGTACACAGTTCAGTATAGAAAGTAAACAATTTTATCTGGACCAAAGATAATTTACCAGTTGAAATATATTATAGGGTGACTTGAAAACTTGCATGTTTACTATAAAGAACATGTTGGCATATGAAATGGTTCAGTGCCTTAGCTAAGCCAGTCAAGGCCTCTAAGAAAACAGAGAGGTGTCTTTAGATAGACACTCTAATGAAAACCTATGATTAAATTCCCTCCCTTCCATTTAGAAGTTGTAACTCTGAGAGGAAGGAAAATTTTGAACTGCAGAGTGTCATGTCATTGCATGTATTGAGATGCTACCAGGTCAGGTATAATCAGTTTGTGATGATTAATACTGAAACCAATTGATTTTTTTGATTAAAAAAATAATTCTTCAAGGTTTCTGAAATGTATGATGCTGTGTTTTTATATGTTTTATACCCATTTGGTATCAGATTGATTCTTATTTAATTAAGTGGCCCAAACTTTAACCAGTGATACAGTTTTTATATTTATTGTGTTAGTCACCCAACAGTTAAGTCATTTTTGGCTGTTATAGTTATTTGTGAAATGTGGGTCAAAAGCGGTGGTAAATAAAGTGTGTTATCCTAGGATCATTAGGGGTGTATGAAATGGGCCGTATTTGATTCAGATTCGGCCCAAAACAGGGACAGTGATTTGATTAGTTAATTTGGATCACTGTCCCGATTTGATTCAGCTGAATCCAAATGAAGATTCAATGCTGATTTATAGAATCAGTGATTCGGCCACAGACAGTTTTAAATGTTTTTTCTACATACCTCGAAGTACCAGGTGCAGCTCATGAACACTGCAATGGTGGGACGAATGGAGCATCTCACCGGAGTGTGGAAGGGGCCCCCCTGTGTGCTTGGCAGCTAAACTAAAGCCCCCCCCCCCCCTGCCCCTCCCCAGATCTGGGAGGCATCAGTAGCCAAGCTGGGAGAGGGGGTGCAGGGGAACCTCCACATGTTCCCCGACAGACCCGGAAGTGCTTCTGTTCCATTTCTGGGTCTGTTGCTGAGTGCGGTGGGGACCTTCTCATGCTCTTGTGGGACACTCCATCCGCCCCATCATCTCAGTGTTCACGAGCTGCCTGGTACCTTGAGGTATGTAGAAAAAACATTTAAAGCTGTGTCTATGTCCAAATCTCTCTGAATCGATTCAGAGCATTCTGATTCGATTTGGAGAGATTACATTTGTTACATTGTTATAAAGGTATTTACAGTAAAGACAAATAAATGAAAAAATCATTGAACATACTCTTTCAACTTTTTGGCTGTAAAAAATAAATAATTTGGGTGCAGGCATTAGTGTTTTGTTCAAAACAATTGCTGCACGCACTTTTTTTTAACCAAGTGATTATAGTTCTTCCCACTCCTGCTTAAAGAGAGCAGTTTGGAATCTGTTTGCAAATAAATTTGTTTCCTCCTAGATTAAGAGAGAATTGTCTTGGGAACCTGAAATGATTTGAAGGCCACCTTTTTTTTTTTTACTTTTATTTATTTATTGTCTGGATATAATAAACATTTAAGCATATGCTTGACTTCTGAGCGTGTGGTTACATGATATGAACAGGACCATGGAGTTTTAGAAATGTATTGAATTGGTCAGTCTGCAGTGGCATACTATGTGCATATATTTTTACTTAATGCACTGAAGAATGAATGCTTTATTGTACCATTGTTTTCAATCTTTTTAGCATTTTCTGGATTTTCAACTAATACCAAGTATGATCCATATCAGATTAAAGCAGAAATAGCAAGCCGTCGTGACAGAGTGAGTAATCTTTTTTTCTATAGCATTACAAAGTTAAAGGAGCAAGGAATATGGATATATAATGATATGTGTGCATACAAACTTACATTTTTTTCAGTAATGTAATTTGTGGTAGGTGAGGAGGGCACCTGCCTCAGGTGTCAACACTGGGGTACCAGAATGGTGCCTCTCCCCGTCCCACCCTCGTCTCCTCACCCTGCCACCATTCTAGCAATAACTGCAGCCCTGGCTGCTACTGTTTCAGCGGCAGCTGGGTGCTGGGATACCATGCTGCAGCTCTATCAGCAACAACCAGGATGAGCAGCACCAGCACCAGCTGAGGACTTTTAAGTCCCCAGGGCAGGTAAGACTCCTGCTTCTTCCCCCAGCTCCCCAGCCTGCTGCGCAGGGAACAATCCTGGTTAGTTATGCCTCTGCTTATTTTATTAATGTTAAGCTAAGTTGTGTGGGCATGCTTTCTAAAATTGAATACTTTTAAAATGTTGCTATTCTAAGCAGTTTAATTAAAAAAATGTAATATTTACCATGTCACAGTCACTTGCAAAGCAAACTAGGTCATTTTACAAGCATATAGAATTTTCTGATATGAATGACACCGTGTACAACTTGAATTTTGAAAAAAAATTCTTTGTCTCAGTTTTGTCACCAGGAGTAAATATTTTGCAGTCCAAATAGTATTTCCATTTAACACTTATGCAAACCAATTGTCATCTTATTTTACAGTTATGTTCATTAGGCTCCTAGGGGTGTAACCGAGGCTATCGTTTGTATTTGGAACGTCATTAGCCATATGGTTACTCATTCAGTGGGAGCACAAGCCAGGATGAATTTTATCTCACTGGACCAGAGCTGTTTTATAAAGGAATAAAAGCAAAAGCACCTCACAGTAATAATATATTATTCTAAGTACAAACAGAGAACGTCTTTCTGTCATAAGGTGCCATTTTTGTTTGTCATTTTTCAGAGCAGAAGCATACTTTAGGATGCTGTCTTTTCTAAAGTAGATGGAAGTGGCAGAGATACATTATAGGTGGCTTTCTAAAATCCATTACACTCTTAATAGAAAACAGGAGAAATCTACATGTTTAACTGTGCAGTAGATTCCAGTAATTACAAAATATAGTGTATAACTTAAAGTTCCCCAAAATCTTTCTGAATTGAGTGTTTCATTTATTAATGCATAAAGGGGAGCTTAGCATGCTAGACGTTCAACACATGAAATAAATAAAATACATATCTCTTATGGGTGGTGGACCTGTTTTTGTTTTTATCAAATACTGATCAACTTTCCACTTAAGTGTTTCTGTAAATAAATCCTATTCACCACCCATCAAAGGTATTTAATCTATCTGTATGTGTTTACAAAACAGTATGTAGTTGAGTTAATGTGCAAAAAAAAAAAAGAATCCAACAAGAAAATTGAGTTTGACTTGTCTCAGATAAATTGACCCAGTTTGTTTAAAGAGGGTTTTCCATTTATGTATAGATTATGCCTCATTGTCTCCTCTAATTCATTAGCAAAGTGACAGTGGCCTTGAACAGGCATTCATTTCTAGTGGTGGAAATTTCTGGGAAATTTCCTGGAAGGGATGGAGCAGTGGGCCAAAACCCTCTGCCTGCTCCCCAGCTAGTCACCTCTACAGAAGCACACTTGTGTTTACTCAGTTTCTTTTAGGGGAAGCATGTACCCTCCGGAAGAAAGCTCTTGCAGGTGTCAATCTGCAAGGGAGGGACTGGAGAAAGTCTCTTGCAAGAAAAAACACTCCTAGTCTGGTCCAGGAGGGGAATGGAGCAGTGAGTCAAAGCCCTCTACCCATTTCCCAGACTAAGGTTGGGGAACAAACAAGGAGCGCAGCTGCTCTTTCACTCTGCTCCTGGTGATGGGAGAAGAGTGAGAGAACAATCTCTCCACCCTCTTCCCAGACCAGAGTCCCTGGTCTGGGGCATGGGTTGGGGGCTTTGACTCTCTGTCCACACACGTGTGTTAGGTGACCTTTTGCATGTTGAATTAATATAAAGAATACAACATACTGAACACTAAGAGCATTTATGGATAAGATATTAGCCATATGGTTACTCATAAAAATAAGACAAGCCAAATGTTAGCTATTTATTATCTGATGAGGTTTGATGATACAGTGATTTTTCACTCTGTTTGATGAAGGATGAGGGAGAAGTCATGTTAATCATTTTGTCATCTACTGATTTACATAGAAATTGTATCAGTGTCCTGATAAGTTGTATATGGCACCCTAAATCCTGTTTATTTACCTTGGTTTTTTTCACATAAAACAGCTTTGAATTTAAAATACAATTTAGGAAAAATAAATCCCTGAATACAGAAACATCTGTAGTTCATGTGAGAGTTTTACTTTTTTATTTTATTCCCATTTAGGATATGTTATTTCTGGAGGAAATATTTTTGTTTTAATCTTTGTTTTAAGTGCATCTCATATTTGAATGAATATAGTAGTGTTTATTTTTAGACTCTTTTCCTGTGGCAGCATAGTAACCATTGTAGTACAGTGTCTTTCCCAAACCTACTTTTCAAACTAAATTTTTAAAACAGGTATGCAAAACCACACCTAACCTCAACATACCGTGTCTTTCTTGTATATGTATTAAAATGAACACAGATTAAAGAATGACAATTAAGGTAGTGAAAACTGCTAGTTTATCTCCCCAGGCATGTACCTGAATCTTTGGAGCACTATAATAAGTAGCTGCTTGTTGTACTATGATGCAAATTACCATTTAGGCAAGTTTCACTTTGCCTTTGTGTGAGTTTTATAATACAAATAAAAAATGCGACAATAGTTAAATGTTCTTCCTAGAGACATTAATATTCTTCCCACGTGAAAAATCCATAAAATTGAACCTCTTCCCCTTTCCAGCTGCTTGAGCTGGTTTCTTGTAAAATACTTCAAGTATAGCCTGGGAGGTCTATGGGCACTTGTCTACTACTACAAGAAGACATGGGAAATTGCCTGTGGACTGGGACTGGCTGGTCGTTAGTACAAGTGATTGCAGATAGCTTAAGAATAGATTATACAAGCAAACTGCTGTTTTGTAAATATGTTAGTGGTGTGGATGTTGGATTGGATTTTATTAATGTTTCTGCATAGTTTTGATTTCTTTGTCCATGGATTTAAAAAAAATATTAAATGCGATCACTTCTTTAGTTTGAACAGTACAGTAACTCAAGTTTTTGTATTTTTATAGAAAAATTATAGCTTTTTAGTGAGGTGCTATTACACAGTTTTGCCTAATTTTTTTTTGTTTCAAGCTTTCTAGGTTAAAACGAGAGTTGGCACAGATGAAACAGGAATTGCAGTATAAAGAGAGAGGAGTGGAAACATTGCAAGAGTGAGTCAAGGGGTTTTTGTTTCTCTTGTATGAATTTCTTGTTACTGAATTGGAAATGTTTCAGGACTTCAGTTAATATGTAACCTGCTGCTATACATTTTTAAATCAGAATTATTCTGCTTTACAGTGTTTTCTCCTTGATAAGACAAAACTATGCATTCAAGACTGTTTCAGATTAGTTTAGGTTATTATTCCATTAGCTATTGTGTGAGCAAGTTTTATGCTCACATATTAACCAAAATGTAGTCTTGAATTATGCAAAGTATGGAGATTAGTAAGTTTAGAACAGTCGTAACATCTAAAATATTAAAAAAAACCCGTATAGTAATTTCATTTAGAGGTCTGTGTAGATTTAGTTCTGCCCTAATATTCCAACTATTATTACAACTTTATGAGTTTTCTTTATTAATTGCTGACTTTCATGCAGCAGTCCAAACATAAATAGAAGCTTGCTTTCTTCATCTTTCTTCTGCTTGCTAATATGTACTATATAATCAATAACAGATATACAAGTAAGGGGAAAATGAATATAAACAGTACACACCTAATAATATATAAATACTTATCTCATTAGCGTTTTTTTGCTTTAAAGCATACACTGAAAAGAGTAGCATGGCCAGAGGACTTCACTGACAAGATAAGCTAGTCATTCTTAGTCAAAATATATTAAAAAAAACTATATAAGAGTAATCCTTAAACCTAGAAGCAAATAGATGTATATAGCATCCTCAAGACCAATTGGTAATGTATTAGGAAAAGTCAGAAGGTAAAAGGTAAATGTTTAATTCCCTGAAAAATAATCACATTAGGGCTGGAAGGGACATCGGAAGATCATCGAGTCCAGCCCCCTGCCCAAAGGGCAGGAAGTCAGCTGGGGTCATAGGATCCCAGCAAGATAAGCATCCAGTTTGCTCTTGAAGGTGTTCAATGTAGGCGCTTGAACCACCTCCGGTGGCAGGTTGTTCCAGACCTTGGGGGCTCGGACAGTAAAGAAATTCTTCCTTATGTCCAGCCTGAAACGGTCTTGTAGTAGTTTATGACCGTTCGATCTAGTCATCATCCCTTGGGACGCTCTGGTGAACAAACGTTCCCCCAGATACTGGTGGTCACCCCTGATAAATTTATAGGTGGCCATCCGATCACCCCTGAGCCTGCACTTTTCCAGGCTAAAGAGCCCCAGGGCTCTCAGCCTGTCATCGTAGGGTCTGCTTCCCTGACCTCTGATCATGCGCGTGGCTCTTCTCTGGACTCTCTCAAGCTTCTCCACATCCTTTTTGAATTGTGGAGCCCAAAACTGGACACAGTACTCCAGCTGCGGCCTCACTAAGGCCGAGTACAGGGGGAGAATGACGTCCCGGGATTTGCTTGAGAAGCATCTATGGATGCAAGCCAGCGTTTTGGTCGCTTTACTAGCCGCCGCATCGCATTGCAGGCTCATGTTCATCTTGTGGTCAATGATGACCCCCAAGTCTCTTTCTTCCATAGTGCTAGCCAACATAGCACTGCCGAGCCTATAAGGATGCTGCGGGTTTTTTTTCCCAAGGTGGAGAACCTTGCATTTATCGGCGTTGAACACCATCAGATTCTCGTCCGCCCACTTGCTGAGCCTGTCCAGGTCAGCCTGGATAACCTGCCTGTCTTCTGGTGTGGATGCTTTGCCCCAAAGTTTGGTGTCATCGGCGAACTTGGCCAGTTCTGATCGCTTCTGACTCCAGTGTCCACATCATTAATGAAGATGTTGAACAGTATGGGTCCAAGGACAGAGCCTTGGGGGACCCCACTGGTCACAGGACACCACGATGAGTGACTTCCATCGATTACTACCCTCTGGGTCCGACCCCGGAGCCAATTTTCCAGCCAGTGGATCGTGGAGGACCCAAGGCGACAATTGGCCAGTTTCTCCAAGAGGCGATCATGGGACACCAGATCGAAGGCTTTTTTGAAGTCAAGATATATGACATCAATCTCTTCTCCCTTGTCCAGGTGATAGGTCACCTGGTCGTAGAAGGAAATGAGATTGGTCAAGCAAGACCTACCCGCAACAAACCCGTGCTGGCTATCCCTTAAGATGTTGGCGTCGGCCAGTCCATTAAGGATGGCCTCTTTAATAAACTTTTCTAAGATCTTCCCCGGGATAGAAGTCAGGCTGATGGGCCTATAGTTAGCCGGATCCACTTTCCTCCCTTTCTTGAAGATAGGCACCACATTGGCCTTCTTCCAGTCTTCGGGCACTACACCAGAGTGCCAAGAGTTTTCAAAAATCCGTGCTAGAGGCTGGGCTATGATGATTGCGAGCTCCTTGAGTACCCTGGGGTGAAGATTGTCAGGGCCAGCTGACTTGAAGGTATCCAGGTTCTCAAGACGTTCCTTCACGAAGTCAGCATTAATGGAGGACAGGGGATCGCCCTCACCCGGACTTCCCTGTCCCGTAGCGGGCATGGGCGTCCCATGGGACTGATTAAAGACCGACGCAAAGTACCTATTTAATAGGTTGGCTTTTTCCTGGGCGTCAGTTGTCAGTTGCCCCATCTGGTTCAGCGGGGGTCCAATGTTGCCCCTGCTTTTCCTCCGGCTCCCCACATATCTGAAAAAGGACTTCTTATTGTCCTTGATGCTCAAAGCTAGCTGGAGTTCAGTTGCAGCCTTGGCTTTCCTGGTCTGCTCCCTACAGGACCGGACCAGTGCAGAATAATCCTCCTTGGAGGTGACTCCCATCCTCCACCCTTTGTAGGCCTTTCTTTTTAGCCTCAGGAGGTCTGCTAGGTCCCTGGAGAGCCAGGGGGGCTGCCGTGCCCTCTTGTTGCCTTTCCTCCGAGATGGAATAGACTTAGTTTGTGCATTGAGGATTGCTCCCTTGAGGAGCAACCACTCTTCTTGAACTCCCCTCTCCCTGTCGTCATGGTCCCTTAAGGCCTCACGGACAAGCCTCCTGAGCTTGTCAAAGTCGGCTTTCCTGAAGTCAAGGACTTGCGTGTTGCTGACCGACTTGCCAGCTTTTCGGCGGATAGTGAAGGTGATCAGCTCGTGGTCTCTGTCACGCAGCTTCCCGTTGATCACTAGGTTCAACGATTCAGTTGTTTTGTTTTTTTTTTCTGATGGACTAGTCACTATATAGGAAAAAGCCAAGATTAAAAAAGGGGGGGCTTAAAGGCAACTCTAAATATACCTTAAAACTACATATTTTATATGACTTTCAGAGAGATAAAATTATGAATCTCAGTGTTAATGTTTGTGATATTAAACCGTATTAAATTGCTCGCTTTGGGGTGGGAAGGTGATAGTTCAGTTTCTACTAAGTATTGATACTTTGGGAATCTGATTTGATCAACCAGCGCTTCTTGTAGGCACTGTGTTCAAACACAAGTATTCTTTCCGTGACTTCTCATTAGTTGATGACATTGTGATACTATGCTCACTCTGTCCTGCTTTTTACACACACACACACACACACACACACACACACACACACACACACACCCACGTCACTGCACTGCGAATCTTAGGGTGCTGATTCGATACAGAGGAGGTTTGGCCCGAATCTCCAAATTGAATCAGGAGACAAGTAGAAAGGTCTGCATTGATTCAAAGCTCTCTGAATCGATTCAAAAAAAGATTTGGACAGCTGAAGAGATTCGGGCAGTCCCCACTTGCCGCCTCAGGGAGCTGGACCTGGACTCTGTGCTGGTAAGTAGGGGGCTGGAAGAGGGGGGGGACCTCCACCAGGCCCCATCTCCTGCCTGCTCCCCCAGCCCCAGCTTCCAGTTCTTTAAAAAAAAACAAACATCCCTGCTTTCACCTACTGCTGCCAGGTAGGAAGGCGATTCCCACTGCCCCTCACTGCCCTGTGCTGCATGGGGGGCTCTCTCACAAGCTCCCATCCCCCGCCCACTGTCCCAGACCCATTTGATAGCTGTCCTGCCCAGCCCCAGCTCCCAGTTCTTTAAGAAAGAAAGAAAGAAAGACTTTTGACTTTTGACTTTTAAGAGACATTTATTCCCGGGTGGGTGATCACTCGGAGCCAGTAAAGAGCATGTGCAGGTATGCCCGAAGATCTGGGCCTCATGAATGCCGGGGCTCATGTCCTGCAGGGCCTGCCCGTACACTCTAAACTAAACAAAACAACACACACACACACACCCCCACAAAAAAAAACACAACGAACATTCGGACTATATTGACTTTTTTACAGTTCTGCCAGCGGGGGACACCCATGAGTCCTCAGGGGTCGCCCCGCATGAACCAGAGTCCAAGGCCTTGGCCCACTTGAGGCGTGCCTGCAGCTTGAACAGCTGGTGGTCTCACAGTACGAGGACCAGGTGTCCCGCCTCGACTCGGCACAGCGCCCCCTCGAGGGCCCC